CACACCAACCAAATAACAGCACTTGGGAATATAGGGAGAATAATGGCAATGTAGACATGGATAGGAGACATAATGAGGAGAGTTTGAGAGAAAGACGTTCATGGGATACTAACCGTGCATCAAGTGACTTAGTGGGTGATAAGCACAGAGATGATTTCAGGGATGATTCAGACAATATCAGGCATTATCAGGATAATGAAGGACAGACTAGGGATAACTACAGCTATCAAGAACAGACTGAGGGATATTATCCACAGCGCTGGAATAATGAACAAATGGAAGAAGTAGATTACTATGAAGACAACTGGAATGGTTGGGATTCGGCTTATAATGGCAGTGGTGAAAACTTTTGTGAAAGAGAAACGTATGACAGAGAGAAGGTTTGTAAATGGTTCATTGTAGGAGTTATATAACTTCATTCATTTACATTAACGTTTTGCATAGTGCCATGTTCTCTCAGTCAAGAAGAGTCATTGACAGAAAGATGCTAACTTCCTTTTCCTTACCCCTCTACTCTTGAGTTTGCTATTTCTCCTTTGTCTTTCCTACGTACCTTTTCGCTCTTAAGGAACATGTTCAAGTAGCTGATTATGAAAATGAAGCAGAATATCATAGAAAACAGTGAAAGGTTCTGCGGCCATGAAAGAATTGGATAAAAAATTTAGATCACCCCAGTTGTAGTGGAAGAAAAGACCTCTGAGAATACCAGTTGAATGGATGTTCCAACTTAGTTTTGAGAGGGTACATGTAGGAAAACCCACAGAGTTACATGTAGGTTTGTTTGAGTATCTGATTGGTAGTGCTAAATAAATTAAGTAAAATGGCATTAAGGTGTGAAGATTTTATGATAATCTGGTTCTCTGGAAAACTCTATCAAAATGTTGTTCTGTTTTTCTTCCTCTCACCATTTTTCCTTTATACCTTTTATATTCCCCTTTATCATCCAACCTACCTTCACTAATTTCTGTGTATTTACTAGGAACTCCCATATCACCGTGAGGAGGACATTTGGCAAGGAAGAGAAAATAATCAAGATGACAACCAAGCTTTCTTTGACCAAAATCAGTCATGGGACTATGACCGCAGATATAATGAACCAGACAGAAACCAGGAGTTTTACTGTGAACGGTATGAAGAAAACTTTAGTCAAGAGTATGATAATAGCCAATATGATGATTACAGGAGAAGATCTGAAGAAACAAGTCATGACAGTGAAGATCTTCGTGAAACGATAAGAGAGTGGCGAGGTCAAAGGGAAAATAACGGGACACACGAGTTACAGGCACAAAGACAAGGTATGTTTATTCATGTTCCGATTAAAGTCATCATTACGTTGTGGTAGGGCGTTTGGTTATGTGGGAGCTAGGTAATTTTCAGCTCTCCTTCCAGCCACCTCCTAATTGTCCTCCCAAAGGTCCCGAGAACTTTCTCTCCTAGTCAGGTCCAGTAAAGGCGCCTTATTTAATAACAGCCTGTGTTGATGGTCGACCCCATGAACTTTTCTTCTCACTTACTCTTCCACTTGTTTTATTAGCACTATCCTGCACATTTTTCTTCTCCCTGTGTTTAGATTTGTGTATGCTGACATTCATTTAATGATAAGAAAGCAGTTAAAATTTGACACTATTTGTATCCAAGCTGCACTTTTTGCCGACCCTAAATGTCTCGATGTAAATTTCTGAGCCCTGGGCTTTGCTCCAAACTGTCTTTTTTCTCTGAGGTTTATGATTTGATACCCGTCGTGCATCCCTGGATTTTCCATGTTGATTGGCCTGCATTCGACCCCCCAAAAAGGAAAGATTACGACCAATCTCTTTATGCGGAAAGAGGGGCCTTAAGCGTAGGCACACATCCCTTCGCCAACTTTGACTTAACAGCACTGTTTTCCTTCATTTACAGAAGATATTTCCAACAATTTTTCACGATTCTATGAGGAAGATCATCCATCTAGACGGGAGGAAGTTACTCCCACCAACCCAACAAGGAGAAGACTATCTGACCCTGACGTCCAACAACGAGAATGGCAAGATTTTGCAGATCGGAGATCCTGCAACAACTCCAGAGATTTTACTTCCAGGAAACGTGGGAATTTTCTGGAAGAAAGGCCTAGGTCAGATGAATGGTTAGAAAGTGGTTGGAGGCGTGTTGAGAAAAGACGTCGCCGTAGCATTTCACCTGTTAACTTGAGATCTCGGGACTATGATCATCAAGAGATTCCTCTCTCTGAGGAGCGGGGTCGAAAGAGATCCCCGGAAGCTCATGACATCAGAGCACCTGTCAATCTTAAGCATAGTGCCGATTTTGCTCATTCAGCGTGTGATCACCCCACCAGTTCAACTTCACCACGAAAACGAAATTCACCAGGCAGAAGCACGCGAGATTCATCTAGTGAAGCCTCGCCACTGAGTGAAAGATCAAGTTATTCTTGTAGTGAGCAATCCTCGGAAAGAAGGTTTGGTGGGAGCCGCAGCTTTGATACTCGGGAAAGGCACCATAACAGCAGGGTGCCAAATGAGAGAGGACGCCCTGAACGGTCAAAGAAAGAGGCTAATCTTCGTCGGTCTCTGATGGAACACCAGCACAGAAAACATATTTCATGCGCGGGTAGAGACAGATCCAAGGAAGAGAGATTGAGTTATTCATCATCGGAAAGAGAAAGGAAATCTCCAGATGAACATTGCAGATCAACTGGCTCCCGAAGCACAGCCGAATCCACCTCTTCATCCAGAACTGGAAACAGAAAGAGACACCATGAAGATGAAAGGACAAGGCATAACATGGAATCAAATAAAAAACGTGAGCTTGTAATTTGGGTTTTGATTGTTCATAATGTTCAAGGGCATTCTTTCACTTGAGATAAAACGAAAGCCACATTGAACTGCATGTGGAAAACGCTACCGTAGGAAATAAACTCAACAACAGCTATGTGAGTGATGCCCCTTTCGTATTTCATCTATACATTAGGAAGTAAGAAACATCTTTTAGAGATTAGTACTAAGTAATAAATATGGCAGAGATAAAGATTTTATCGCTTAAGTTTTCTTTTCAGGAAAGGAAACGAGTCATAGTTCCACAGGCCATTCTGGTACTGCAAGCAAAAGTAGTGAACTCCGAGAGGGCAAACCACAGTCAAAGCCATCTGGTGAAAAAAGGACGCATTCTTCTGGAGACCATCTAAGTAGGACGGGAAAGGTGAGCTGATTTCACCAGGCAGTTTACAAATTCTTGCTATGGTTATTTTGGAAAATCAGCAGAAATTCCTTCTGTCCAGTTTGATAGTGAAAGGAAATCCGCACACCTTCAAGAAAAGCTTATGTTGTGAGAAGTTAAAGACAGCTTAGGGTCCCAACATCTACCTACGACCTTTCCCTCTGTTCGTGTCTTACTTATTCTGTTTTTTTTTTTTTCTGCAGCCAAGGGATAAAGTAACCGATAAATCCAGCGCTAAAAGAACGGATCGTCTTTTGAACGATTTAGCCGTCACATTAGCCGTGGATAACATCTCCTTGAGACGACCAAGTCCTGATGTAGAGGACAAACATAGAAACTCTGATCGTAAAAGGCAACCTGCAGACAAAAATTCCCCATCTAAAAGGTCGTATGAAAAGTATCTAGACCAGATTAACGAGGTGGACCATATTGTCAGGGATCAAGATGTGCAGTCGGTGGATTCAAGTAGTGGTGGTTTGAATACAAAGGATACAGTAGTTGGCTGGTACACTACGGAAGAATCATCTGAAGGAGAGACAACCGCTTCCGAGAGCGGAACAATGTGCTTAAAAGGGCTCTGTGTAGGTGGAAATTCTGACCAAGATGTCGACAGTGTGGCAGAATCGTATGACAGAGTAGAAGGTTCATTTCATGCGGGAAAGAGCTCTTTGACTTTTGGTTTCAACTACAAACCTCTTAAGATCTCACTGGGACATCCCACAATTTTAGGCAATACTGGCCAGCACGCAAAAGAAGCCAAGAGATTTTCTGGAGGAGACAACACTAAACTACATGATAATTTACAGTATGCGACAGAGGCAACTTTTGCAGACACCACAATTCAGCCGTTCAGACCCTCCGCCAAACTCTCCGAGTTTACTGAAATAGAAACCAACTCTTCGTGCACTGTCGACAAACTTGAGAAGACACCCGAGACGGTCGATGAGAAGACTAATGTGGATGAAAAGCTTAGTATAAAGGACTCCAAACAGCTGAATTTCTGCTTGGAGCACCCCGATTTTCAAGAAATACAGACAAACGATACTTTCATTTTCGATGATTTTAAGAAGACGCAAAAGGAGAAGGCCAATGAAGATGCGCTCGCTCTAAAAACCAGTGGCATTAGCTTGGTAAGACAAGAAGATGGAAACTTGCGGGTCGAAAATTGTCATGTTGTTGATATGGAGTTTTCGTCTGATGATCAGATATCTCCAGACGTAATGAAGTCCGGAAACGAATTTTGCTACAGTATAGATTCCAGCAACGTTGAGAACGAAATCGTTAATAACGGTAAAGAGGAGAAGTGTGTCAGCAGGAAAGCCACTCTGGATGTTAGAAGATCAAAGGAAACATTAAATTCAGGAGGCGTTACCTCGAGTGTTATTGTAACTCCCTTGAATCAGAACGTACCAAGCATCTGTGACAAAGAGGACGAGAATGTCGGTGGAGGTACATTAGAACAGAAAGCATACGACGTAGAGCCTAAAGCAGCGGATAGTAGCAGACACAACGCTGCTGGTCTATGTTTACGCTCCACCATACCAAGCATTTATTCGGACAAAGTAAATCAAGATTGTCAAAAGGCCTTAACACAGAGAAGTTATAACATTAAAGACCGTAATTATGTTGGTGGAGGAAAACGGGAAAGAACTACTTTGGATGACGACCAAGTGGACAGCATTTATACTGAAGAGGAATTATCTAGCTGCAACACTTCTAATGTTGCTGACCAGAATCAACATAAAAAACAGCCATTAGGCGCTGACAACCTGGAAAAAGAAACAACAAACACAGAACGTTTGGGTTTGGAAAAAGATGATCTTGGTATTAAAGAGCGTGATACAGCTGGTGTAAGTAAAGAATTAACACAGGTAAATGACCCAAATGGCAAGAAGAAAGTGATTCTTAAGAGTGACTATGTGGTTCACGGCAAGATCATGCAAGAAGAAATTTGTCACGACAATGACGGTCAAGATTATAGCGCTATGATACAGGGATGCAATATGGAGCGTAAGCATGAAGACAACAGTGGACAAGAGACAACGTCTGATGAACGTATTAATGACGCAGTCAAAGGTATCAGTGTTAGTGACGTGAGTCAAGAAGTTGAGCGTAAGAAGGAAGCCACTTACAGAGATCAAGAGCGTTTAAATAAGAGGGGTCTTGGTGTCATATCCAAAGAGAACAGAACCAGTGACGTTTATAACATGAGGACCAAGGAAGGAGAGGGCTCTGGATCTGCTGTTTTGATTTCAGAAGAAGAGGTGTGTGAAGGAAAGAGTAGCATTTCCACGTACTATGATAATAACGGAATTCAAAAGCGGAGCAAGCAAAAAGATGTTGATTTTGATCACCAATTTGGAGGACAGAAGGTTGAGAGAAGGGCTTTGGGTATGACCGCTATAGATGACTTTGACGTCAGCCATAAGGAAATTCAAATTGAGGATGTGAATTCATCAGATATTGTTAAAAAAATGTACTCTTCCCAAGATTTAACCGCACGTTGTAAAGGAAATTCAAATTGTGAAGATCATGTTACCACCCAACAAAGAATTCATTCCTCAGACAATACAAACCTGTCAGTTAGCTCTTGGAATAAGGATGAGAGATGTCCCACGGTACACAGAAATGGTCTATCCAGTCAGGGAAATTTGCCCAGACGGAAATGTCATCCGGTAACAGAAATTTCCAAAGCTGATGTGGTAAGTAAAGTTACTGGTTTATCGCAGAAGATCTCAGAAGGTTGCCGAAGTTTCGATATACGCGTCCTAGAACGGGGAGATTGCTGTAACGTTTCCCAAGCTGATTCAGGTATCATTGACCGTTCGTGTTTTAATTGGTCACGAATGGAATCCCGTCAGTCGAATCTGGACGATAGTGATAAAACTGTCAGTTCATCCCCTGATACATGTAGCGTGAGTCATGGTCTAACGGAGAATAACCTTTCGGTCAGGGGGAATTTGGAACACGTTGAAATGGAAATCTCGTCCGATGAAGAACATAGGCCCAAACTAACTGGTCCTATAACCAGCGTTGTCGACGAAGCCAGTGGCGCCAAACCTTACTCACCCAGTAGTCCTACTATGAAAAGTGACGATCAGTGTTCTCCTCAACCCAAGCATTCCTCTCCCTATTCCCCAAGTCATCCGACAAACGTCAGTGAAGGAGATCTGGATCAGAATAATCCAGTTAAAGAGTTAAGCTACCACGAAGAAGGTGACGCGCATGGTGTAAGTACATCTGAAGACAGGAAGATCATTGCTGGTCCCGTCGAGAACAGTTTCCAAGGTAACAACGCCGGTCACAATGAACGTACCGTAACTGCGCAGGAGGTTAGGAATAACGGCATTGATATTTGTTCTGAAAGTCTCGTCACGGTGTGCTCAAAAACGTCTAAATCTGAATCTTTACGCAGCATACCAACTGTGGAAGATGCTCTTGATGTAAACGTGCCATTAGACGATGTAGCACAAAGTGGTGAAAGAAAGACCCGCTGTGAAAAAGAGAGTGTCGATGACAAGGGCATTGCAGCCTCACGTTGTAATTCTTCACCTAATACCATAAATGAAAAAGGCCAGAAATCTTTGCTACGTCGCCCACAGAGGACACAGAGCTTACCCAATATTTCCACAGTGGTTTCAAAACCGAAAATTGTGTATATCTCTGCAACACGGTCTAAAGACTTTAACGCTCATGAAACGATCCCTTCCAAGAATGATAACAGTGTAGATAAAGCAATAAAATCCGACGATGTTAACTGTGTTAAAATACCCATTGTGACAACTGTGGAAATCAATCCCCAGAATTCCAGTCCAGAAAGCAAGCGACCGTTTGCATCTAATGTGTCTTTGGAGCTACACGAAAGATCACCTTGTACATTTTCTAGTTCCCAAGGAACAAGTCAAACAACAGAGGTTACTTTTAAAGACAGCCTAAGTATGAACAAAACTGGTGAAGGCATAGAATTTGATCCTAACTGTGATTCGGTTGTTACTCCAGTAACCTCTGAAGAAATCGAGAGGAGGCCTATAACATCAACGCGTAAAGTTGATCTAGATAAACAAGACGGTTGTAAAAGTCACGAGCGTGCGAGAAAGATGGTTCGTGAGGGTGAAATTTGTAATAGAAAAGATGAATTCGATGAAGAATCTATGGTAAGAGCTTCTGGTCAAGGTGTTCTAACGCCCCAAACCCATTCTGCTTCACCCTCTAGGCCCGACCACAAAAGGTCCCACGAAGACAGGGATGGACCTCGGCCGTGTAAGGTGCCAAAGAAATCTCTGAAACTCATCATACCGAGCCATCAGGTATCTGATGGTAATGCCACAGGTACACCACCTCAAAGTGAAAGTAAAGGCGGTTCCTGCGCAGTCACAGTTTCTGACAGGAACGGCAGTAAAGCAGACCCATCTAAAGAACCTGTGAATGTGACTGGTTACGTGATGGCCACTCGACCGCCCACCATTGTTACAGCAAATTCGAAGACTGGTTTCATTTCAAAGAAAATCACAAAACCTCGTGCGAAAATATTGAAGAAAACCACCTCTCATACTGTCACTCGCGCAGACTTGGACTCTGTGTCGCAGCAAAACAGTTTGCCATCCAGTGAGATTGATAACGATGCTAGTGAAGACATTGTGACGGTTCATTCGTCTGAGAATAGGGAAATTTTGACTGATCTTCTTAGCAGCAAAAATACAGAAGGTGAAAGCAATTCGATTTCTCGAAGTGATAGTTTCAAAGCTACAGACAACCATGCGTCATCTTCGTCGACAAAAGACTCGTCGCATTACCAGCATAACAAACATCTTTTAAATTCTGGTGAAAGTATCCGCACTGACGAACACAGGGAGAAGGGAACAGGGCTAGAACCTGATCAGATTGCTTTTAGAATGGAAAGACTTCGGAAGAAGAAAGAAGAAATTGAACAGGTGAAGTACTTTTGAAAACCTTTTACTGTTTTTAATCAGTTGAATTGTTTAATGCTTTAACATCCTTAGTTTCCCTTCTCTGCGGTTTGAAGTTAAATCTAAAATAACGGAATGATGCAAAGTACTAAAAAAACAAACATTGCCATTCAAAGTATTGTTTAAGTGCGTAATTACGTAATTTACATTCGACGATTCGTCCACCAACCTTTTTTTCCGGAAGAAAAAAATAGAGCTACTTTTACTTTTTTCCACTCCTGAAAACCGGCAAACCCTTTCAACCTTAATAGGCGCTGTAGAAAGTGCGAAGTCATTGTTTTAGAGTTTTTGGCTTTCACTGGATTAATAGAAGGCAAGATATTTTCCTCTTTCAGGGATTTTCTTATCGCCTCTGACTTTTTGAAATAAATATGCTGTTACCTTTATAATGTCACGGGTGACATTCTTAATGGCGGTTCCGTCTCCATTAGGAGACGTAAAAATAGTGTCGCCAGTTAGAACTTTCGTGCTAAATACACTGACACTCCAATAAAGTGCATTTTTTATTTTTTATTTTTATTTTTTTTAAATTATGAATTTTGGCCAAAATATGTACTTCAAACCTTTTAGCGCTTGGGGTTCTCGATACATTGAACAAGTCAAAAACCTAGGATTGTGAGCCTAGTTCATTTGTCTCCCAGGATAGCAACTGGTAATCAGATGATATTCTCGTTAAATTAGGAAATAATTTCACTCGTCACTGTTTGATGACACCTACCATGAGAATGAGGTGTTTAGCGTTTTGCAGTAAACTTGTTGAGGTCCCCAAACAGTCACTTAAAGGCCGATAAACTATTCATGGGTTTATTTAATGTTTAAGGTGTACAAGAGAGAATGTCAGACGGTTATCAACGTTGTCAAGATGCTAGTAAGGTCAGTTGTTTTCAGTACCACCCATATGTGTAAGTGGTTCTCAATACTACGTGTTGTAAAATCAAACTCTGGTCAATCATATAGTGTGGTTGAGAAGGAAACCTGAATTATTCAGGTTTAGACGAATCCTCAGCTTTGCGAAGACTGGGTTATAGAGTTATCAAGGTTTTACTGCAGTGGAAGAGTTGAGCAAATTGAAGGTCAAGTGTTTCGCTTTCGATTAGAAACAATCTGTTTTTGGTTGGTTCGGTTGATAACCTTTTCAACTTCTTCACAGCTCTGTGGAAATGTTTGAAAACGGTATTTCGCACGCAACGTTCTAATTTTTGCGCGTGAACTGCTTGAGCATAAGTTCCCGTTTACTTCGAGGAAGTATGGAATTAACTTTAGCCAGTGACAATCGCCTATCGACCGAAAACGTTTGGGAAAGTAGTGTTATTGCATTTTTATCTTTTGGGCTGTTTTTATTTTTCAGCAATGACCCGAGATTAGAAGGTATCTTACAGAATGCTGTTCGTCGTAGTTTGCAAGAAATGGGAGAAAGATGTGTGCAAGAGTTAGAAAAGGAGGTTCGTCCTGCAACGTGATCATGGAAAGCAAGAAAGTACTCGGCCATAGTCGACTTGGATATGAGGAACAGCGGGTCTAAAATCCTTTTTCAGTGTCTTATCTCCCATCTTAACTTCGACTCTTATATTGAGAACCTTGTTGGAGAGGAATGATAGGGTTACGACAGTGTGCCTTCCGTGTATGTACAACAGTTTTCGGTCGATTTTGGTGCATTAAGGGAGATTATGTTAACAATCGGGTGTGCGTGGCATCTTGAGGCAAACCATTGCTGAAGAAAAAGAGATTTAAACAGTGTTGTTCTTGATTTTTGAAATTTTAAAAGGCTCCTAGTTCTTAACAAGAGTTAGCTTTAATTTTCCTAAAGAACATTAATAAAGATTGTGGTTAGTAAATTCAGTCTGTTTAATTTCCCCACCCTTTCAAATGCTTTGGGTACACACCTACCATCTTCCAGGAAACTCGCACAAATGCAAAATATGCATTCTACGCATGCAACAGGATTAGCGCAGTCGGGAGAGTGTTTGACTGCAGAGCGGGAGGTCGCGGGTTCGATTCTCGGGGCCGGACCATTACTCAGGGTCTTAAAATAACTGGGAAATGAAGGTACCTCCTTTGCACTGCAAGCGGCGAGAACTTCGCGTGGCTCGGATGACCACGTAACTGGCGGTCCCGTATTCTGTAGGAGACGTAAAAATAGTGTCCCCAATTAGCAGCTTCTTGCTAAATACATTGACACTCAATGATTTTTTTTATTATAAGATTCAAACAACAAAAAATTATCGCAGAACTTCATTCAGATCGGATTGATTTGCATTCACACTGAACACATACCCAACTATGCGGTACAAGTTTGACCGATTTACCTATCATCGAGAAATGGGAGGTGCGCAATCGAAAGCAAGGTGTATGTTTGATTTCAAAAACTCATCAATAATTCATGAGCTCAACAACCTATCACGTCCGCTAAAATCCGTCACGTGCTCGTGTTTTAAACCCCGGTAAAACACTTTCAATCTAAAAAGCCTGGGGGCGACATTTGATTTCAGTCTCAGGGGAGTGCTGGGCTGATTGTATTTTACTTCATTAATATTCTTTATTTAAAAATTCATTCTCATTAGTATTCTTTATATAAAAAATACTAATAAGGATGAAATTTTATTTCATTGCACGTGACGAGTGAATATCAATTATCAGCACAGCAACTGACACAACAAATGGTGGGTAAATATTTAACGCTCTTTCAAAATAACACACGAAGTAAATGTACTATTGCAAAATATTAAACTTTGTTCTTTCACCAATTTATACAGCCAAAAGTTCAGTGACACAGTGGTAATATTGGCTAAAGCAGTGTCCAAGCGTTTAAAGCCCCGTGCAAACGGACGCTACATTGTTGGATGTTACATGTTGCGTCCGTTTGCACACTCTGTTGCATGTTGTGACGTTGCTGCGTGTTGTTGCGCAAAGTTTGAAACCGGTCAAACTTTTCAGCCAACAACTCCCAACATTTCTTTTGTTCCGTGATCGCCGAAGCGTAGCGCAACAATGTTGGATCCGTTTGCACACCTCTTCCAACATTGTTTGGGCCAAGCGCGCTCATTACGCATGGTTTACAAAGACTTATGGGTTGTATCCTTCCCACGACGCACTGCAGGTCCCAGCATTGTTGGGAGTTGTTGCATCCGTTTGCACACCACTGCCAACACACACGCAACAAATCCCAACATTATTGGCGTAACAATGTTGGGAGTTGTTGCGTCCGTTTGCACGCAGCCTAACACTCAAGACTTGCCAGTTGTGAATACGCAAGGCTCGAGTATTGAATTTTTGTTTACCTACCATTCGGCCATTCCAGAAAAATCTTCTCAAAGAACACTTTTTCAGTGGAATAGTTGACTTTAAGGTACCATTTTGAATTAACTTCCTTTCTTCCTCGGCATTTTTAGGCTTCCGAAAAGCTCTGGAACAAGACGCTATGTCCCCTTCGGTTAGTGTCGTTCGTAGACTGGAAAGTTTCTAAACACGTGAGAGATTTGATTTTCTTACATAATAATTTCATACGTAATGTTTTTTTCGTATGCTAATTTCCAACGTTCACAAAAGCGTCATTGTTAGAGTGGTTTTCGTTTGAGTGTCGTAAAACCAAAACCAAAGTAATTACTCTGGCCAATCACATAGGACACAGACAATACATTGAACCAATCAAAACTCGAAGTAATTACATGTGGCTGACGCAAAGCGCGGGAAAATGCATGCGAGCGCGTCACAATTGTCTTTGGTCTTACTTCTGATCGGATGAAAAGGTGGCGCGAATCTTTTAAGCCAATCGCATCGTGTAGAAAGTGCAAAACCAATTACTTTTCGACACTCAAATGAAAACCGCTCTATCAACTCCATTGAGACACGCTTTTCCAGGAATGTTTTAGAAGTCGTTCAATAAATTCACGGGTCGGGTTTTATCGGCGCATAAGGCCACTCGGCTTCGCCTCGTGGCTTTAGGCTGCGTGCAAACGGGCGCAACAACTCCCAACGTTGTTGCGCCAACAATGTTGGGAGTTGTTGCTTGCGTGTTGGCAGTGGTGTGCAAACGGATGCAACAACTCCCAACACGTTTGGGACCTGCAGTGCATCGTGGGAAGAATACAACCCATAAGTCGTCTTTGTAATTCATGCGTAATGAGCGTGCGTGTCCCCAACAGTGTTGGAGGAGCTGTGCAAATGGATCCAACATAGTTGCGCTACGCTTCGGCGATCACGGAACAAAAAATATGTTGGGAGTTGTTGGCTGAAAGGTTTCACCGGTTTCAAACTTTGCGCAACAACATCCAACAACATGCAACAGGGTGTGCAATCGGACGCAACATGTAACATCCAGCAATGTTGGGAGTTGTTGGCCAACAATGTTGCGTCCGCTTGAACGAGGCTTTATACCCCTATAAAACCCTCCCGCTCGTTTATTAAACATTGATAAAACCGAACGGAAAGTTTGTAGGAAGTGCATATCTTTGGAGAGGCGAATAAATAAGTGAAATAATTAAAGTTTTGTATCTTACGAATCTTCTTACGTTTAAAACACGGCCGTCTCAGGGAAATTAGGCATTAAAGAACGCACATAAAATACGGTAAAATTCCGAAAATAAGCCCCGGGGCTTATATTTTTCAAAGGCCCGTTTTGAGAGGCTTATTTTTGGAGGGGCTTATATTCGGAGGGAAATCTGCGTTTCAAAATCGATTGGGCTAGCTATTAGTGGGAAGGAAATTTACCATTTGTCTTTGTTTTACTTTGTATTCGAGGGCAAATTCCAAGTACAAGCCCCCCGGGGGCTTATATTCGTGGGGGCGATTTAACGGAGGGTTTTTTGCGTTACGATTTTGGGGAGCTTATATTTGGAGGGGCTTATTTTCGGAATTTTACGGTATTAGGAGCGTTAAAACGCTTCCGTTCCTCTTCCTTTCTGGGAAGAATAACGTTGATGCTTGTTGTCGTGATCTATTTAGTTTTTGTCACTTAGTACCGGAAGGTCACTGCTAAAAATCAGGTAAACTTGCCTATGTGAGAAGGGAATGCTCGTCTTTAATTCAGGGTCACATAGCTGTATAGTGATCCTTCAATAGACTTTTCCCGGTTTTTTTTTTTAAGTTTTGATAGTGACTAGTTAGCGAATATCCATTGACACTGCTGAAAAGAGCGCCTTAAAACTAAGAATTCGTTAGGTGATTCGTTAAAAGCGAACAAATATATTGCTTTGCAAAGTCGCGAAATTTTACAGTTGGCACTAACGGGCCCCCTTCCATACAAACGTGCGAAAAATTCGGCGACTTTGCGGAGCTATCTGTTCGTTAGTTTTCAACAAATCACGTTCAAAGTTGGCATGTGTACTGATTTTTAAGTGTTCTTTCCAGCCTTATTGACGGATTTTCGCTAACTGGTCCCAGTACCGTTGATGTATCCATTCATGTACTGCGGCCTGCATCCCTTCCTTAATGCCAATGGAGGCAATAACGAAGAAATAATATACAGCCCACAAGAATAAAAAATTATCATAAACATGTTTATTTCAATTCTAAATTGACCTTACTCTAATTACGTTAAAAAATACCGAGCAAGCCCGGAAAAATCGTCAACGCCGAATTATATCAGGTGTGTCTGGCGCGCTTTGCGGGTTTCCAAAGGGGGACCCTTTAATTAGGGTTTTTTCTCCTTTTCGATGAACCTTTTCGGAGTTATCGGTTTTTCTGGACTGGCTTATTTATAGTCAGCTAAGCTGACTGTAACTAACCTACGTCATTCACACTTTATAGCTTCCCACTAGACTCATTTAAATTGGTTGGTTAGAGTGACTTTCGAATGACCTTCAAAAATGGTTTCGGTAAGTGTTTGTTATTTGTTTTATCAGCCAATGGATGAAAAGATCAAAACATGGACTCTTCGTTTTCCCGCCCAAAAAACCCCAATATGGCGAAGGCATTGTTCAATTGGCCCATAGTGTTGCAGTGACTGCAGTATGATGTCAAAGTGAAGTATCGATTGATATCTAGAAAGTTCTCGGGCAGGAAGTATTTTCAACTGAGCGTTCGCTTAACCAACCAAAAACTACGCGCGTTTGCGTCCGTTCGATAAACCAAATAAATTGCTCTCTTTCCGTTAGTTTGTTGTTTCTGTTTTGTTCGCGCGTTTCATTTCAAGGTCATACGAAAATTGCTCTATAGGTATGATGTTTTGTCTCCTCTAGTCTGTATGTGAAAGATGATTTAAAATGGGTTGATATGGAAAGCAACACTTAAGCCTAGCCTATTTAGTACCTTTGAGCTATGTTTTAAACCTGAACAAATACCTTTAAAAGCTTATTTATCTGAAAACTACTTTGCCAGATGCTATACTTTACAGTTGTTCAAAACAAAGGTGAGTTTCTGTACCGACAACAATTGCAAGGTAGAAGTCGCCCAAGGCGATCATGATTGCCGTTTGCATTGTTAGATTATTAATGCAAACTTCCCTATGATTGTGCAGTCAAAACTAACATCTACATTGTAGTTCTGTTTTAAACATATGGTGTATACGAAAAACGAAAGGGTAATTTACCGTCCAAGCTAACTAGACGATTTCTGCCTAATTTTTTACCGTTTCTTAAAAATCGGTGTTGTCAATATCCTTATTTAGAAAAAAAATTACATTTTGCACATACTATTGTGTGAAAATAAAGTTTTCATTAAAGGATAAATCCGTAATGGTAGATGAGCAGATTAGTACATGGAGGTAATTAGTGAATTGCAAAAGAGAACGCTTGTAACATAAAACTCTAGTTAAAAAAATAATTTTTTTTTTCAAATTTCGTCGTGAATTGTTTTTTTCAGTCTAAAACTGGAACCACTAAATTAATAGGGACCTATTTATATACAATTTAAAAATGATATGCATTTATATGCAGTCCTGACTGAACGAGGAAATTTAGGTTTTATCGTACAAAATGTGCTAAATATATATTCTAATTCTCCAATTGTCCTGAGCCGGGTTGTTCAAAGCTGGGTTAAGGTAACCTTGGGTTTGCGAAATTTGAACTCAAATATGAGAGCTTAAAAAGCAAATTCAGTTTAATTGTCTTTGCCTACAATTTGATGATTGGATACTCTAAAAAGAATAGAGGAAATTATCCGAGAAAGTGCTTTTGATAAAAATGAAGAAAAACAGAAACCCTGGTTAAAATTTAACCCTGCGTTTGCGCTAACCGGCGTTCGAACAACTGGGCCCTGGTAAATTTTTGTTGGCTAATCAGTCCCAAAATGGAACCAATACTATGATTACATATTTTCCCTACATTTTTAAAGAACACCTTACAGAAGGCAAAATAAGGACCTTATCGTAAAATGTGTTCAAGTATGTGTGCTTAATAATTCCCAATTCCCCAAATATCGCTGTGTACGGTCTTTTTTATTATTTATTTATAAATCCCAAGATGAAACCAACAGTTTTCAATTTATCATGAACGGAGCTAATCTTTATTGTCAAGCGGTAATGTCGTCTCAAAATCAAAGTCAATTTTTACCGCGAATGATCTGTTTTTCCTAACAAAACGGGGCAAAATGAAACTTTATCTTATGAGCACTGATTAAAAGCGAAATTCTTACTAGTCGCGAAGTGTTGTAAAATAAGTTTTGTACGCCAAAAAGATGAGTCCGCACTCTTAATAGTTGCACTATGGGTAGGGAAAGATGGAGGGAAATTTAAAAGTTTCTATCGGAATTCAATTCCAACTATTTCCTCCTCAATTAAGACATTTTACACTTTCTCTTTGATGGGTGTAACTTACGCCGTGAATACAAAGAAATAATGCACCAAATCTGCAGTGCATAGAGTCCATGATCCGTTTTTAGAAAACTTTCTCCCATATATTTTCTGTCATTGTAGTACAGCCGAATTACATAAACAGATTTTATTTAAACATTTAAACACGGTCACAGTTAAAGCTACAAGCTTGTGGGCCGTGTATAACACACACAAAATCCAAACTGGTAAAATAAAATGTTATGAAATTAGTATGTGTAATCAAATGGTGACGAGTGAAATTAGGGAAGGCTCGGGAAATTATTAGGATTTGGACAAAACGCAAGTGAAATTATTGCCTAATTTCACGAGTATACCATTTGATTACCTATTAATATCATGGGTGACGAATTACGATAGCAATCTTGGATTTTTGACATGTTTATCCTGGATCGTATCGATCGAGAACTCCACTCTCTCAAATGTTTAGTCCTTAAATTTGGCTTACAAAGTTCAGAATTTTTCAGACTTTTTCGGCAAAATACCTGTTAGAATCCTTCTTGATGTTCTCTTGTAAGTTCAGGTTTTCTAAAGCGTCTTTTTGTGTCCTGATATTTTCATTCACGGCATTTTAAAACTTCTTCGCCCTCTTGACACTGAGACGTACGGAGGGTTGCCATGGCAAATGTGAAATTACATATTAACGCTGAAATTTCGCGCCAAAATTAAGGAGTAATTCGTCACCTATGGTATTAAAAGCATAATAATATAGATAACAATTTTATGGGATTTTGACTCCCACGCCAACCGGGTGAAAAGTCTAGCGTTACTTGCAGTATTGTCATCTAGTGTACTCGTAAGGCTGGTCCATATTGTGGCCCCTCTGTGGGCGATAGAGCTCTTGATATTAAAACTATCGAAACAAGGAATCACTCTATTTCTGAAACTGTCCCTATTTCTTGGTCGTGCCGCGACTAAACTCTATTTGTATAAAGGCCTCGTGGTAAATTGCATATAATTCTCGCTGCCCTTCAGAGGATTGTCTCTAGTGCATCAAAGCTTTGCTTGTTAGCGCAGTCGGTCCCTCATACAGTTAACGCATAAGTAACTAAATAGAGGGCAACATAACTTTGTTGTAAATCAAGGATTCTAAAAACTAACAATGGACTTCAATGCACTGCAGATTGTGTAAATGTTTCTTTGAATTCATAAGGAAAGTGTCAAATATACTCAGTGAGTTTCCCGCGATCATGCACTAACTATCCATGGTGCAAATAAAAGCGTGACCCCGTGTTCTGTAGAAAAATGTTTTCAACTTACGGAAACTCCACGCTCAAAATGTTCCATGAGAATTTGATGAAACATGCTTTTTTCATTTTCACCGTCGAGGAATCGGGTAAATAACAGTCGACTCCCGATAACTCGAACCTTCTAAGGAAATCGAAAAAAGTTCGAGTTATCGGGATTTCGAAGCAAATAACCGGAAGTACTGGTACTACTTGGACTGAGGAGGGAACGCAAGTATCATGCATCAAGGTGGGCGCAAGAGATACAGATTGGTATTTTCAAAGTGGAATCAAGCAACAAAGCTTTATTAATATACAGGGATGGGCACTGAATTTGAAAACTGGAGTGACAAAAAGGTAAAGGCAAAGAATTGGTTTGAAAATTGTTTTTGAAATAAATTCAATATTTCGGACTTCAGAGCACTGTTCTTTTTCCGACTAGTCACGCGCCGTAAAACATGGTTCGAGTAATCGAGGGAAATGATCTTAAGGGAAACAAAAATCACTTCCAGTTATCGGGAGGTTCAAGATATCGAGGGTTCGAGCTACCGAGGGTAAAATTTAATTCAATGTATGAAGGAAATCCAGGAGAATCGACTTTGGTTCGAGTTAGCGCGAGGTTCGAGTTGGCGAGGGTTCGAGTTGTCGAGAGTCAACTGTAATATTTTTCAAGTTTTAAGCTCAAAACGTTTTCAAAAACGTGATTGTGTGATCGGCGCGAGCACTGCAAAAAATTAAACAACCCCCATCCCCCAATTAAAAGCAAACTTACAACGGCTTCAACACTAATTTTATCGTTAATTTTCAATAGATTGATTGTTGCTTTTAATCATTAGACAAGTAAACTTTTGCCTGCTAATAACATTTTAATTAACTCTTCTGCCCTTTGTTTGAACAGAGCTTAAATTTTTGAGTTTTCCTCGCAAGAACCCAATAAATTACCAGGGGAAATATTCAACTAATGACAATCGATATTAGAGAAGACTTTCCCGGTTTAAAATTCAAACGCTAGCTGGAGGGTATTTAAACTGTTATTCTCTTAGGAATAATGGTGACTTCCAGTTTTCACAATAAATCTACAGCCGCTCGTCGCGTGAACACAAAGCCAGCTTGTTTTAGTGGTAAACAAACACTATTACTACAGCTATTACTAGTACAGCCATTACTACTACAGCTATTACTTCTACAGCTATTCTTACTACAGCTAATAAAAATGCTTCTACTACCTCATTGCTCAACCTAATCTCTATCCCCGGATCTTTGCCTGGAAGTCCATTCCTTTGAGTTTCTGCAAATAAATTGGTAAAATGGCAAGTAAGGTGACATCTCAGCCAACTATGAGGTTGGTGACTTAATCACACCACAAAGTGACTAACTAAACAATTACTCGACTAAAACACTATTACTCATCAACCATTCTGGCTAGGGTATAAAGTTGTTTCAATGTAAAGAATGCAAAAAGTATGAGTTCAATGAGTTTCCCTCGCATTTCACTCAAAAGATAAAAAGAATAGCCTATGTAGCTAGGGTTTTTCGAATCGTCAAGGCAAGAGAGCCAATCAGGTTTTTTCATTTGACACCATCATGAAGCCGAAAAAATTGCTTTTTCGACGGTTTTTTTATTCGGGCCGTTGGGAGAAAGATCGATGTTGACATAGCAGATTTCACGTTAAATGAAATGTCAACTAAATAACACGTAAATTTTCAAAACGACTTGAAATACTGCCATGATCGTCGGCAATTAATACCGCAACAGTGGGAATGAAGCCGTAAAATTAAAAGCCACTAAATTACCTTGCGATTTAATTCACGTGTAACTACATGTCGGTTACTAAGGTAAACTAACCCCACGTTTGGTGTGTGTAACCGCACCTAATGTGTTCCATTTCACAGAGCAAGAATTCATCTAACAGGCAAGTGTAAAGATTATGCTTAAGCAAAATTTAGTTCAGTTCTTCACTCGTAATTAGCTTTAGTATAGCCAATCTGTTGAAAATTACTATAAAGTCTTCAAGAAAATGAGTTTTTCCTTTCTCAGGAAAATTAGCAATGAAAATATTTTGAGTTACACATTGTTAAGCGAGGTTAGAAGACTCTCAGTAAGAACGTTAATTTTTAAGTAGGTCAGGAGGCGATTCTGAGGGTATCAAATTGGTCATGGCACAAATTTCTTCCATAGAATGTGACACCCCCGGGCATTTTTGCCTGATTTTGGCAACATAGCTATTCTTACTAACTAAAATACGCTGATCTCGAAAATCATTGTTGCCAAGCTCAATTCTTGTGTTAAGATAATGTTTTTGGGCATTCATTACGACGTCATTGTCCAAATAAGGAGTTTTCTTTCCTTTCACTGATTTTAAGTTAAATTTAACCTGAAATGCCTTTAAATTGTGATACATGCATTGTAAAGATGGTTAAGATAATTTCTCACAGATTTTAAACTGAATAATAATTATTATTTATTCAAAATATTTTTCCGTTTCTGACTGGCCAAAATCGCATGCATAATTCATCATAACCAACTACTGTTGACCAAATTTTGAAGAATTCTACCATATTGAACCGATGACGTCCAAAAAGCAGTAAAGTTAGAGATTATTGAACCTTTAACGGAGGAGATCTGGGGGCGAGTTTGAGTTGTTTTCGAAGTAAGTAATGGCGGAACATTTTACTCGTTTCACGGCGAACTGTTGTCTTAAAACATAGCAGGAACTGCAAGAAGACAACTAGACGGACGACATCTGCTATTAAGAGTATATTTGCAGACCGGAAAAGCCCTTTATATCCTAAACTTCCCGATAAAGATGCACTATCGATATGAACTTAACATCGGTAAGGTAAGGGTAGGCATGCTTTCGCTTATTTTTAAACTTGGAATTATTTTGAATGACTAATATAGCAATTATTGAATTCGACTTTCGTAGGAATCGATATGAAAAATTATGCAGATCTCGGAGGGTGTTATCCACCTCCATCTGCATAAATACCTCTTATTAGCCGAGTTTTCGGTCCGTACTGTTAATTACGGACCGAGTCTTTTCCCATCGATTTACGCGCACCATAAATTGATGGAAAAAACGAGGATCCATAATTTACAGTACGGACCGAAAAAACGAGGCTAATAAGATGTTTATTATATGGCTTCTTCCAGTTTGGGGGACCGGAAACAAGTGCAGGACGCGCGATTTGACAATCATTTGACAGGCGTCAAGAAAGAACGTTTTTATTGGCTCACGAAAACAATAGCACACAATAAAGGGTTTCCGAGAAAGTGAAAACAAATTCGCCATGTTGAAAATGTTTATTTGGTCAAAACTAAGAGCACTGTAAGTTTTAGCTCTTACATGTAACGCTGGAGTATTTTGGAAACCGGGAACTGGCTTTCTCGAAGTCGTTTCCATCTTTCCTCCGTTGGTCCTTGTAAAAAAAAAAACACTGCTAAAGGCAAAGACGCTCTTCAAGGTAAGTTTGTTGTCATTATCGAAGGATTCGCTCGTTAATTTTTTCGGGAAAACCTCTCGAATTTCTGCCAGTTCATTCACGTCTTCAAGCGTGATCTACGTTAAAATTTTCAAACAAGGACCATATTTTCTTGGTTACGATTCAGTTTCTACATCAGCTTCGTTCTCATTCAAACAAAGCTAGGTTAAAATCTGCAAAGGCAAAGCCAACATCCCAGTCCTCAGGGTTTATATTTACCGACATATTTTTAAGTATATTCGGTCAAAACTAAGAGCACTGTAAGTATTCACTCGCCAATGTGACGCTGAAGTCTTGAAAACTGGACATTGTGTCTGGCTCGGAGTCGCTTCTATCTTTCTTTCGTTGGTCTTTGGAAAAACACTGCAAATGACAAAGAAGCTCGTCAAGATGATCGGGTGCAGGTACGTTTGTTATCATATTTGTCGTAGGAATTACTCATTTTCTCTTAGGCAAAACATCTCGAATCTCTGCCAGTCGATTTTCGTCTTCTTAACTGTGTAATACGATAAAATTTTCAAACACTTACTAGAATCCTCTTCGATAAGATTACGAGTTAGTTTCTTCATCGCCTTCGTTCACAAATTAAAATGGTGAAAGACAAAGTCAAAATCTAAGTCCTCAAGGTTGATATTAATTTCAACCGTTTTTCCGTGGTAAAGAGATTTAGAGCTCCGGAATGAGCATTTCCTTTGAAATTTTGGTCCGTATAGCAAGTTACGGACCGCAAATTGACCAATCGCATGGCGAAAACAGACTCAGCCATATAATAATTCTTCATTTCCTACTCAGCCTCAATCAATAATTACTAATTAGTATATACACACTCAGTGATTTTGGTGATTTAAGCAATCTGATTGGTTCGCTATCTCGGATTATTGAACAATATTCACCTCCTAGCGAGTGGATAATGTGTGGGCTCGGTTTTTTCCCATATCTTTATAGAACGATCTTTTAAAAGTCGACAAAGTCCTAGGGTTGACTTTTTTTCAGGCAAGAAAAGACTTCGAAAAATTCAAAACGGCGTTTTTCCATTTACTGTAGCTGAGTTTTGTGGTCGATGGATTGTTTACAACTCCCGTTTATTTGCGTAAAAGAGGCCGTTTCGTTAACTCAGCGTTTCCTAACATGAAAAATTTGGCCCAAAAACGAAGTTTATTTATGACAAACAAATTTGAAAGCAAATGTTTGCAGAAATTCTAAATATGAGAAAGAATGCTACATGAAGACGACGCTTACCTCGAGGAACCGAATCGCCATTTTTGTTAGCACCTCATGCGACGAACGACATAACAAACCTTTTCGGCTATAAACTTGGCGAGTCAACAGAAAACAACAAAGCTCTTCTTTTCTTCTCAGGTAAGGAAACAATTCAAACTGTTAACGGTTCCATTTAAGTCATTACGCTGTTTTTTGCGAAGTGATAAGCATGTGAATTGCCATGTTTGAAAATTCTACAAAGATCTATTTCTAAACTTTCGCGTGTCTAGCTGACCTGATCTGTCAATCAAATCGTACTTTTTAATGGTTTCCTCTCTGATTTTGCTGAGATTACTTCGTGTGTATATACGAAAACAATTATTCTTTTCAATCTCGGTGAATAGTGGCTTTAGGAATATTTACCTCGCCACTTCGTGGCTCGGTAAATATTTAGCCACTATTCACTTCGATTTCAAAGAATAATTGTTAACTATTAAGCCGTCAGGTAACAATCGACCACGCCCTCAAAGAAACTTCACTTTGCTTGGGGTATTGCATAGTTGTGGCATTTCGGTGAAAAACAATTTTATTGTTACAGTTGGAGATAAAGTTTTAGTATTTTCCCGTATACTGTTAAACCTCAATTTACTCTGTCAGGTCCATAATGGTCACTGGTTACATCCATGTGAAATAATAATCTTCTTCTTCTTGAAGAAATTCATCAGGCTAGTGAAGTTAAACAGTCGATTTAAATGTTCTTAAAACATAGCCAGTCTTAACGTTTTATTGATGCTGACAGTCATCGAGACTGTCAGCATCAATAAGACGTTAAGACTGGCTATGTTTTAAGAACATTTAAATCGACTAATAATCTTCATCATCTACATTCTATGTTTCATTCCTTTCACGGGTTAAGATGACCTTAGCAAATTGGCCTGCTGGCTGAAGTTGTTTTTCTAAGCAATAAATTTATTGTTGCTTTTGGTTTCGGTGGCTAGAAGCTCAATTCCAAAAATGCTAGAAACGTCTGTATCACTGTCTGCAATTATTGGAGACTTAGTTGAGAAAAGGAGACGAAACTCCGAGTTTCATAGACACAACTGAACACGTCATCTTATTTACGCACGGGCGTGCGAAAATAAAGACTTTTTGTTCATAGCGACTCAATAGTACTTGTGTAGAGCAAGCAGGCGCGCTATCTTATAATGCAAAATTTCTTCGCCACAACTAACTTTCACAATGTCATTCGTCCCCTTCAAATACTTTAGAAGTCTTTGTTTTCAAAAAATATTTTGATTGCATAACGTCTTTCAAGTATCCCGGGTCTAGTATAGTCGCATTGTGAGAATCTCTTTGTCTAACCATCCTTTAGTATAAGGCAGCCTGGTCAACGTCAATATGGCGTCTTGGTTTATACATGAGTGGTGGGATGGGCTTACTTTTGGCATAACAAGTCGTCAAAGGGTTTGTTAAAAATTGAATAAAACTGGATTGACAGTGTTTGACATTAATGTAACGTTAAATTTCAAATATGTTGCGTAAACTAGTTAACTTTAACTACTTGAACCAAAATTAAGAAATGCCATCGAAATGCCACTCCGCATATTATCGGTTTACAAATAACTGACTTACTAGCAGGACTGTCAGGTGGTGTATCCGATTTTCTCCTTTTAATCTGTGTGTTTTGCGAATCTTGTCCCTCTACGGAAGCGGTTGTTAGACTTCCTGCCATTGCTCCACCTTGACTTATTCCATCACTATTATTGTTACCGTCATCTCTGCCATTGCCTTGAGCATTAACTGTAACCCCTGAAGAAGCATTCATACAAATAAGAGTGGTTTCGCACTTTGCATATAATGGTTTACATATTACTGTGTAGCGGACAGCGAGGTTTGCAAAGCCCTCACACAATTCATTTTGATTGAATCACTGAAAAATGCTAGGACAAGCTAACACACCTAAAGATCTTTACTAAGCATTTATGCTTTAAGTGCGAAACCGTATATCAAATACTACAACTAATATTCCAGCCATGCCTCATTGCAAAGTTGTAGAGCTTTCATCACTTTCTATTGTTATAAAGATACAGACTGTTTCAAGGTACCAGAAATTACTTGGCTATTTTTAAAGGTTCCAAAAGGAGGTTGAGTTTGATCGTCTGGGTGAACGTAGACCTGAATAGGACTGTGCAGCTTTCATCACTAGCCGCCGCCCAGTTACCTCAATGGGATAAGCGCCGGTCTGCTGAGCGGGAGGCCCTAGGTTCAAACCCCTGCCGGACCAACACCTAGAGTCTTTAAATAAATGAGGAGAAAGTGCTGCCTTTGTAATAACAACTGCAAACGGTTTGACTTTCTAGTCCTCTCGGATAAGGACGATAAACCGTAGGCCCCGTCTCACAAGCCCTTGTACGTCTAATAAATCTGTGGGACATTAGAGAACCCACACTTTCTTCGTAAAGAGTAGGGCACGTAGTGCCCGGTGTAGTGGTCTATCTCACTTTCACACTCATGTATGGGGGTATCATTACTTATTCCTTCATTACTTGTAAAATGCACGTTAAGCAGTCTGGCAAAGTCCCCCAACCAGAGTTCTAAATTATCCCTGAAAAGCCCTGAGGGGAGTGGATAATATGACATTTACATTTACACACATTTACTGTTGTTGTTGACAGTGACTGACGTTTCGACAACCTGTTGTGCGGTAGTCATCTTCAGAGTCAAAGTGAGTTGTATCACGTCCGTTTATGTTTTTAAACTCCGTTTTTCGACCTAAGTGGTCAATTAAGTCGCGATGTTATTGGTCGTCTGTCAGTTAAGCCGTGATGTTATTGGCTATGAAGACTCGTAATGTCATTGGTGCGTTTCGATCCGTCTATTGTCACTGTTTAAAAAAAGTCGTTTATTGTTAGCCAAATTGCATGTCAGTTGTCCAGTCGTTCTCTCGTAGTTAGTTTTACTTGATTCCGTCAATAAATCGTTCGTACGGTGCGGGTAAACTGTTGGCTACGATTCCGTGGCGTTTGTTCGAAGTTAGTAAACCAGCTTTCTAAAGTGAGTCGTTGATAGTAGTCTATAGGATACGTAATACATGTCTACTTACATTAGTAAGTAGTCGTCGTAAAGTGGTTATCGGTTTGTGTGCAACACGTATATTTGCACCCGCAAGGATTTCGCCCAGAAGGCGAAATCCCGAGGAGGCACTGTAGTAACTCGAGCGTATATTAAGGAAAGTACTTACTGTTGAAGTATACAGTCGGTATGCCAGAAAAAATCTCGACATGCTTGGGCCGCGAGGAATCGGTAGGTAATGATGACGTTTCTACTGTTTGCGCCCGCAAGTACGAAATGGTTATGCACCTATCAATGTAAATCCCGTGAGGGGGGAGTGCGGGTAAGGGTCGGGGATTTGATGCCTGAGACTATCCCCATGTCGGGCTTTTGATCGTGCGAAGCGTCCCCGGGGTCGGGACATTTGACTTTGACCGACAGAAGCCTGGTATCAATTCAGAAGCGGTTACCAAGTCCGTCCCTCGAGGCTTTCTGAAAGTCACGCTGTTGGATAAAGGTATGAAGTTAATAATGTCTATTTTGAGAAAGGTTTTATCTTCAAGTTCCCATGTGATTGTAAAACTCGATTGAAATCGAATTCCACCATGAAAGTCAGAGGATTTTTTACGGGTCACTGATCCGACCTGTTCCGACATGTTGAGCAGATGTTATAAAGTATTTTACGTTTCATTAATATTATAATAGCACCGTCAATCTTCCTGGAGTGATTTTGTTGTTCAAAATAGGAGATGCTAGTGGAGAGAGAAAATACTTAATTACAGCGAGTAATTTAACGTACTTACGTTAACCATAAATAAAAGTAGTAAGAACGTGCTTTTGAAATATTCTTTTAATTTGGTTTATATAGTGTTATAGTATTGTTTGTTTAGATTTTTTCCCCTGGGGTGGGGGCTTTTTTGACACTTTTGATCAACCTTTCGTTTCCCACCCTGGGGAATTTGATCAAAAAATTTCAAAATTTGTCAAATCCCCACCCCTTGCCCGCACTCCCCCCTCACGGAGTTTACATTGATAGGTGCATTAGGATGACGTAAAGGCAGAAAATCCCTAAGGGACCACTTACAATAGGTAGATTTTGTGACATTTGTTGTGCAGTCAGGCTTCGTTTCGTGTTATCAGTGACATTCTGTGGAGCAGTTGTTTTGAAAGTTATGGACCAAAAGACACTCGTTAAGCGCAAATGAAGTTTTAACGTGCGTATAACTGTGTATAATAAAACACTTGAGAGGTTGCCAGACACGAGTTCACAAATCTTTGATTGGAAACCTTGCCAGACACTCTTTCTCTCACTTTGACCTGAATAACACTCAGCCCCAAACAAGCAAGACGAGTGAGCAACAGCCAGCTTATCACTAGAAAAACGATGGACGATTACAGAAATTCGCCGACAATCAAATTCTGTGCTGATTTATTCCCTGCGCACAGATGTCCTTCCGCTATAAAGTTTAAAATAAGACTAGAATGCGCGAGCGTGAATTGATCAAACGTCCTTTTAATTTCTAAGGATTACTTTCCGGCAAATAAAATGAACTGAATGTAAAAAGTGAAAGTGAAATAGCGAAAAATTCAACTTCTAATTAAATCTTTTCTTATGGTTTAGAATAAACTATTCTCGAAACTGAGAATGTTTCGATCAAAGCTGTGTAAATCGAACTGAAACTGTGTATGGAACCTTGCTTTTCCTGTATTTATCTCACCTATTGTATGGAATATGTGTGAAAATCTTCATTATGAATCGGTATATTTCAAAGAGCTACACAACAAGCAAGAATACTATTGATCGACAATATACAGAGCGGGGGCAGCTGAAGTGTCAACTATTACCAGTGTAAAGTAGTAGTATATGTGCGCTGGTTTCAGAGGTGCCTCTGATGTACGGTATAGTCGCTGTCCTAACAGGGCCAGAGTTGACGTTGGTCTGAGTGTTGGAATCAGTGTTACTGTGAGTGTTCCGTCTAACGAAGTCCGTGTTGAAGTTGTTTTACTAAAAAACGTTGTTTAGGCAGTCAGTCTCGTCTTGTAAGCTGTCAGGCGAGTCGACAACTAGCTGCGCTCGTTTCGTCAAAGTCCGTATACTTGAAGCCTTGTGAGAGGTCGTGTTGTACGATGACTGGTCTAGTAATCTGTCGGTATGTGTCGGTTTTCTGTGAATTGTCGTTGGTAGACCGTTGTTTCTCGGGAGTGACCAAGCAGTCTACAAAAGGTATTTTACCATTCTCCTCTATCTCACCGGTAAACTAAATTGATAGGATTGATAGGACGTGAACGCACCACGACGAATTCTTCTTCCTCTTCCTGGAAACCGTCCTGTAGTATTTAACTCCAGGAAATTTCACAAGCCGAGCGAGGCTAAATAAACGCGATGAAGAGAAAATGAACGCAAGTGATGTTTTCACTGCCTTTGTCGTCGTAGTTGGTCTCAGTTTCATTCCTTTCACAAGTTAAGGTGGCTGAACACAGTTTTGCGAGCGGTCAGCGGTAATTCGCATGACGGCGATTGTTTTAACTTAGACAAACAAACATGGCGGCGAAAAAGCAATGTTAAACAGAAGACGATTTCTCAAAATCTACTCATTAAAATTTTGTGATATTTGGAGGAATTTTTACTTTTTCTGTATTTTAGATAATGAGAACTTTAAAATAGAAGTTGAACAGACGATTTTTGTGACACATTTAATAATTACAGTACAATTATATTACTGATTATCTAAAAACCCCTCTGTTAAAATTTAGTCAAGTAAGTTTCAAATGGTAATGATTAATTATAGTTAACTATATGTAAGTTTATAGGAAAATCTAATGAGTGAGTTTTTTGTAAACTGAGCAAAAGTGAAATTTTAAGGTTGTATTCAATCGTTTATGTTGCCATGGAAACTACGAAAATGTCAACTTTTACCTGTCAATCAAAATCTTTCATCAGTGTATTTTTCACTTGCCAAGTTTCAGCTTGTGAGCTGCAACCCTTCTCTTGCCATGATTTGGCAAATGACATATACTCACAAACTGCCAAAACTGTGTTCAGCCACCTTAAGATGACCTAAGCATATTGGCATGCTCGCTGCAGTTGTTTTTGTAAGCAATAAATATATTTCTTTTCGTGTAATTTCTCTAACTATTGCAACATTGTTCGGATTGTTCGGTTATAAAAAAAGTGCATAGTTTGTTGCTATTACTTGATAAATAACTTGTTTTCAAAATGATAAACAAAAGTCAAACACCGAGGACACTTTTATACAAATTGGATATTCCCCGACACAGACCAATTTGGGGTCTTAGGTCACACTGGCCAACGACTCAGGCTCTAATTTGCGAAACACCTTCACCACTTTTGCTGTTGGTTTGGGTAGCTAGAAGCTCAATTCCAAAAATGCTAAAAACTTCTGCATCACTGTCTTCAATTATTGGAGACTTAGTTGAGAAAAAGGGACGAAAATCCGAGTTTCATAGACACAACTGAACACGTCATCTTATTTACGCACGGGCGTGCGAAAATAAAGACTTTTTGTTCATAGCGACTCAATAAGACTTGTATAGAGCAAGCTGGCGCACTATCTTATAAGGCAAAATTTCTTCGCTACAACTAACTTTCACAATGTTATTCGTTCCCTTCAAATACTTTAGAAGTCTTTGTTTTCAAAAAAATGTTTTGATTGCATAACGTCTTTCAAGTATCCCGGGTCTAGTATAGTCGCACTGTGAGAATCTACTTATCTAACCATCCTTAAGTATAAGGCAGCCTGGTCAACGCCAACATGGCGTCTTGGTTTATGCATGGGTGGTGGGATGGGCTTACTTTTGGCATAACAAGTCGTCAAAGGGTTTGTTAAAAATTGAATAAAACTGACTTGACAATGTTTCACGTTAAAGTAACGTTAAATTTCAAATATGTTGCGTAAACAAGTTAACTTTAACTGCTTGTACCAAACTTAACGAATGCCATCGAAATGCCACTCCGGATATTATCGGTTTACAAATAACTGACTTACTAGCAGGACTGTCAGGTGGTGTATCCCATTTTCTCCTTTCAATCTGTGTTTTTTGCGAATCTTGTCCCTCTACGGAAGCGGTTGTTACACTTCCTGCCATTGCTCCACCTTGACTTATTCCATCACTGTTATTGTTACCGTCATCTCTGCCATTGCCTTGAGCATCAACTGTAACCCCTGAAGAAGCATTTCTACAAATAAGTGCTTTCGCTTTTTGCATATAGTGGTTTACATATTACTGTGTAACGGATAGTGACGTTTGCAAAGCCCTCACACAATTCACCTTGATTGAATCACTGAAAATTGAAATAAATTTTAACTTGATATAAAGTGGCCGTTTACCCTGCAAGCAGAGGTCGTTTGCGTCGCTTGTCATTCGTGTAGTTGGTTTGTTTACCACCCCACCCCCCTCCCCTCCCGAGAGAAACCTCTACGGCGAGTCCCCTCTGTGGTTTCCGTTGTACATGCACTTTAGGCACCTACAAGAATGGTACGTTGGCCAGTTGAACAACTTAGACCCATTCCTTTTTGACTGATTTCTGTGCAAAGGGAGCCCGCGTGAGACTTTCTCCAACGAGCGTTTCAACGAAGCGGTTTAGAAGGCTCTCAAGGCACTAAATTGTTTGAAGTCTTTAACTCCTTATCAGTCCGCGGCGTTGTGTTATGTTGAAAATACTTTACTGTAAGAGCTCCTAATTAAAAAGAGGTTGCCCTCCACCTACAATATTCTTCAGACAATCTTTTGTCGTGAGAATATTGTCAAAACAGCGAGAAACAGTTTGGATAAAGCGATTAAAATATCGATGTTTCGTTGTCTTAAAATACTTGTCCGGAAATAGGACGAGTAATCATTTCAAAAGTATTTTCAACGGCATTATGTTTCTTTCAGTCGCTGCAGAGGTTTCTCTTGAGGCGTAAACAAACCAACTACGCGACTGACCAGCGACGCGAACGACTTGGTAAAAGCTTAAAGCCATGTCAGAGAGAGGCAGTTCAACTGGCGTTTTAACAACTGTAAATCTGTCACATTTACTTACCTTGCATTGTGGATGGTCTCTGGTTTAGACTTTGCACTGTGTCTTGCAAATTGTCTACCCTCTTACCCAATTTTTCTAATTCAGTCTGTACTTCCATGTTACTTTCACGCAACTCTAAGAACGCTTCACGATAACGTACGTCTCCACCCCAAGGCTCTTCCTTAAGGCGATCTATTTCAGCTTGTTTCAACCCAAGAGCTATCAGAACAGCACTCATTTCCATGCACTGGGTAAGGAAGTGACGATCAGAAACACAAGTAGAGTCCATATGTAACAACTCATTACGCAAACATTTCAGGCGAACAATGTTAGCTTCCAAACTGAAGTCATCAGGGTTTGGCATTGTATCCCATCCATTTGAAGGAGGATGGAGACTACAGGTGGTTCTCACGAGAAAAAATAAAAGGCTGATGTCAAATGTCTTGGAGTCCGGTGTGGATCCATCAGGTGGAAATAGTTTTTTCAACTGAGCAGAACTAAGAGCTCTACTTCGCTTCCATTGTCTCAAAAGAGTAGAGCGATTGCAATCGAGATAAGCCTCAAATTCTCCCGCAGGGTGATAACGATTGAAAACCCTTCTCAGAGCCACTGTTCCTCCATCGATTAGCAGTCTGATCAGCCTTAATCCATTTGCCTCTTCACCAGTACTAGTCAGGACTGACGAACTTGCGAATTCATCTATAGATGTCGGTACTAAAATCAAAGAAGAAAAATACGCATAAGAAGAAGAGTCAAAAAAGTTTTGTGCACTGAAATACTGTTTTTCACATAACACTTTACTGTGTACATGATTTCGTTAGCAATAGCAAGTGATAAGGTGATCATAAAACCGACAAAAAATGTAGAGTAATATATGCGGTGAGTTGTTAAAAAAAGACATTGGGTACACACGTTTAGTTGTATCGAAAGACCTTTGCATGTGTATGTTTGGTAAAAACGACACAAATGATTGGCGATGAACGCAGTAGTTAAGAAGTACGTCAGGAACGAGGGCGAGTGCTTCATCGCGGGTTCCAAACACCGAGAAACAGATGAAAGCACGAGGCCGTAGGTCACGTACTTCCATGTGCTTTGAGGTGGAGCAATCGGTTAATCCGTCAACTTAGCGTCTGATCTGACGGGTCGCGGGTGAGTCGCAAGCCAAAATAGATAATTATTTATTCCTCGAATAATTTAAAATATATATTGTAGCCGGAAGAACTCTAAGTGATCTCGAGATATCTCGAAGTAATCCCGGTCCCACTTCGTGAAATTGCCCATTCTAGAGCTTCGATCCTTTTGGTCTGCGTCACGGATCGAGAACTCTGGCTGGTTGCAATTTGGAGTCCGCAAATCGCGGACTTCCGGTTCGACTGTGCAGTCGCAGGAAAAAAAAATCTGAAAAATTCAGCAGCAAAATGTGCCACCGTTGCACAAAGACTTTTACTTCGAAATTCTAGTTGTAGCCTGACTTTCAATGCAAGGAAAAGTTTGAAAAACTAATACCTGTGAAGTGTGTGGTCTTTGAGAATAAAGATGTTTCGCAGTTTAACGGACTTGAAAAATCGTTCAATAAATCGCCGTGTTTCATGGTCTGTTTGGAGTTCTTCAACTTCATCTTCTTTATTATTATGCACTATTTACATCAATTTCAACTTCTTAGTACAATAATACTTTTGACAGAAAATATATTTAATACATGATAAAACCAACGAACAATGAAAAAGATGTGTGCGTGACAACCGGAGTAGCCACTGGCTTTCGAGCTGGTTGCCACCATGTAAAATGTAAATGCGGTATTAAACAAAAAACAGTAATAAAAATGGACAATAAATATTATGTAACTACATCAATCACTAATATATATAGACACACTATTTACAGTTATATGTTTATATCTAATTTTATACACAGGACAATACATGGACAGGAAAGATGAGCAGTATTACACTGCTCACAAGTGGCAATTAATTTATTTAATTATTTTGAGCGGTTAAGAGGTACTGCTTATAATGCTTTTTAAAGGAATTGTAAGGCAAATTTTTTAGGCTGATAGAAACTGACTCCCAGATTTTTGATGCAGAGAACTGAAATATTGATTGGCCTTATCTAGTTGTTGTGTTTATCCTGTAGAAGTTTTGCCTTGATGCATACCTGGTGTGATGGCAGTGGATTTCTGATGCTAGTGTGAGAGCACCAGAGAAAACAGCTGGAATACTATTTTTATCATTTTGAATTTTACGAGCAAAAAGTGCTATCTTCATCTTGTAGATATTATTTAATTCTAAGATTTCAAGTAAGGCGTAGTAAATATTAGCATTTTCTCTCTTATGCAAAGAACATGCACCGTATACATTGATTTTGTTCAGTTTGTACCCTTTTGAGCCTTGTTTTGCAGGCATCGCCCCAGCTCATGATTCCATAATCTAAATAGGGGTAAATTAGAGTATAATATAACTGATTAAGGACATTGAGGTCAACATAATTCCGTACATTATAAAGCATTCCTATATTTTTTGCTAGTTTGCTATTTATGTGCCGAATCTGGGGTTCCCAGTTTAGAACGGCTTGGAAACTAAAATTTGATAGCATTTTGTTTTGAATGAGGGTATGATTTTCAATTGAACATGCCTAGCGAGCGTAAAAATCGCATCCAGTGTGAGCCTTAATGAGAGAGGGAAAATTTTATACATTTAGGCATGACAAAATTCATGGGAACATTGGTACTTAGAAATAACATCTCATAGGCATGGAAAAAATGGGTTCATGCCCTCGCAACCCAAATTTGACCAAGCTAAACTTAGGTCCAAGATCTCTCGCCGGGCTGATGATTCATTCCCAGTTTTTGCTCTTCTGGTTTGGCATGCTGGGCATGCCGATCGTGAAGCCAGTTGGGTTTGGCATGTCCGGCATGCCGGGCATGAAATTGACATGCCCAGCGTGACTGATTTTGATCATATCCTGAGAATCACATAATCGTTAAATATATCTTAGGGAGCTTGAAGTTACCAGTTTCATGCCTGACAATAAATGCAGATTATAACAGATTATGTCACGGGATCGACTGGCAAAACTGAAGATAGAAGTTTTCGAACAAGCTGGATTTATAAATAAAAAGCACAAAAAAACAACATTATTCATGCATAAAATAGACTACTTCACTTGCAATCAAAGATCAATTAATCCTTTAATTTCAAACCGATAACATTTCTGGGTCCAGATTTTAATTTGATCGTGGAAAAGCGTTTTAAACAATGAGATAACAAATCTTCTCAGTATAAACTTATCCATGCTTAAGTTCTATCGCGTCGGAATGTTTCTCGGTCAACAGCATTAAAAGACTGGTGAAAATTAAGCCTACCAGGTCGTTTAAGTCAGTACGAGAGTACGACGTTAATACTGCAAAGACGTTCTGATTTGGTGAATTTAGACTGCCTTCCCAGATAGATTTTGCTTAGGTTTTCAGTGCGCTTCTTGTCGGCTATGCGAATCTCGCAAACTAGACTCAAACTGTTTTACTCCTTGCTGACGATAGTCCTTTCAGCAACGTCATCTGCTTCATCCGAAGATACCCCGAGCACGCACGAAATCGGTTGAATTTCGGCGGCAGTGTTTTCGGATGACGATGAATCTAGTTTGTTGTGGCGTGGCAGTTGTGGCGTCACGATGTCGTCATGTCTCTTCGCACTTGTTTGTCTTGAAGTTGCTTCCAGTAGTAAATACTTGATATCTCAAGTATTTATAAAGTGCAACACGACCTCACATCTTAACAACTGCGAAAATCTATCAATTAAGGTGGCTCCGTCATTAATACAGGCGCATTTAGCTATGACGAACTTTTCGTGATAAATTTTTCGTTTTTAATGCGATGGCAGCGAAAAGTTGCAAAGAACTACAGATATTATTCGGCAATAATCGAAGAAAATCGCGTCTAGTGAAAATTTTTGCTGATATTTTTTACTGAAATTTCTGGTATCAGTTTTTATTGATACAATGAATATGCCTGAGAAATTTCAGAAAATCGTTGGAGCAGAAGTCCGTAAGTAGAAAGTCGTTCAAAATTTAGCTGTGAAATTGTTCTTGAATATAAAAAAGAAATTGCTCTGAGGTAGAAGGAGCCACCGGTACGAATGTTGAGGGCCCTCAATAGTTTTATCTGACTCTGAAGATGACTTCTGCACCGATTGTCGAAACGTCAGTCAGTGTCAACAACAACAGTCCTATTCAGGACTACGTTCACCCGGACGATCAAACTCAACCTAGTTTTAAAGTGAATCTATTTAACCCTAGTGTTCCAGTAATTGCGACAATATTCTGAGAAACGTAACACCTCAATACACCACAAAATAATAATAATAATAATAATAATAATAATAATAATAAAATAATAGTAGGTTTTTATGGTGCATTTAAAGAATTCTGAATGCGCTTATAATAGTAAATAAAGTGTAAATGAAACTATATAGTAAAATTATTCCTAAAAAGAAAAGTTTTCAAACGTTGCTTAAAAGTAGAAACAGATTCAGAGTTTTTGATATGATAAGGTAGACTGTTCCAGATTATCAGTGCATAATATGAAAATGAGCGGTGTCCATACGCAACGGTATTAACAGAAGGAACGTATAAAAGCACTCTATTAGATGAGCGGAGTAACCGAGCCGGCTGGTATTTGGAGAGAAGTGAAGTCAAATAGTAAGGAGCTAAATCGTTTAAACTTTTAAATGTTAAAAGCAATATTTTAAAATCGATGCGTGCGCCAATAAGAAGCCAGTGCAAGTCTTTCATGACAGGAGTTATATGGTCAGATCTTCTTATTCCGAAACCAAGCGTGCGGCACACTTCTGAACACGTTGCAGCTTGTGTAATTCTCGCTTAGGTAAGCCACAGTATAAACTGTCACAATAATCCAAGCACGACGTAACAAAAGCATTGACTATCATTTAAAGGTGATCCTTGCTCAGATACTTCCACAATCTGCCAATGAATCGAATCGCTAGCATAGCCTTTGTGTATGTTTCATTAATATGACTTGAGCTCTCTATCTAGGTTGACACCAAGATTACAAACTCGTTCTGATGGTTGTACTCTAGCGTCGTCGCTAATAAAAAAATCACTGAGAATTGGGTTTTTGACGAAACGAGAACTAAACTGAATGACTTCTGCTTTACTAGGACTGCACACTAACTTATTGATGGTGCTCCATTCTATGACTTCACTAATACACTTTTGAAGGGTGTTGAGGGCAGGACGTTGATAATGAGGGTCAATAGTTATGTAGAGTTGAGAGTCATCTGCGTAGAACATACAATCTGGGTTATGAGCAGAGATTATGTCTTGAATAGGTGCTGTATAAAGAGTAAAAAAAGATAGGACCAAGTATCGAACCTTGCGGAACTCCAAATTCTAATCTCCGACTGCTAGTTGTTGTGTTAACAATAGTAACAGATTGCATCCGACCAGTACGATACGACGAAAACCATCTTAGCACTTTGTGGGAAAAACCGAAGTATCTACTCAGCCTATATAGTATCAGTATCTAGTCTAGGGTGTCAAATGCAGCTGACAAATCAAGCATGACTAAAACAACATCTTGCGACAATCAACAGTCCTAAGAACGTCATTTAAAAAAAGGATTTCTCCGCTATAATCTTTTCTCATCCTACTCGGGGTATTTACTTTTTAATACGCTTGCATGTTGTGCATAATTACACGAAAATCAAGGGCCTCCATTTTCGGGAAAAATTACATCATTGCCAAATTTACATAAGTCATTTCAGTCATCGCCGAAAATAAACCGCATGCTCATCACGAGTTTAATTTGCATACAATGAAAATCGACACGATTCTTATCCCCAGTTTCCACGGTCTCCGCTAGGGACGCCTGGCCTACAATTTAGGTCACACACAAAAAAAAGGAAAAAGAAGAAAAGAAACGCCTGCATTTTTGGAGTCTCGCTATGCTGAAGCAAGCTCGACTAATAATTTTCTACCAACCAAACAACACCGAAATGCCAAATTTCGTCCCTTTCTTGGTATTTGTTCGGACAACTACTTCTTTCTTGACACTAAAACGTCGTCTCCCGAAACTGTCGCGAAACGGGAAGCCAATCAAAGACGCGAAAGTTGCTGTCTACTGATTTGGTAGATATAACAGCTTCATATCCTTATAATTTGTATGTCATGAATATATTAGCGAACACCCAGTTCTGGTGATTCCCGGTAGAAAAGTAAAGGTAATTAGCGAAAGTCTTGTTTCGTGGCTCGTTTGTCTAATTTAAACGCCACGCTGCTAACAAAATCAACAAACAAAAAAACGCAAAGCAAAAAGGTTTTCAGAAACATTTCAGTCACTCTATTTGCTATCTTGAATTAAAAGTGTTGTTGTTGTACATATTTCATTGAAGATTTATTCCTATTTTGATTGTCAATCAAAATTTTGCAAGGTGCAATGCAGCTTGTCTTTTCCTTTCGCGGACCCTGTCAGAATGACTCGTGAGTGAAATGTCCGAAACATGGCGTGTAAATAGCGTCTGTGTTTAAAGCTCAAATCATTGTTCAATCTTGCCGGAAAGAAAGTACATTAAAGTTTTGACGATTATTCTACCGACAGCCGAGTAT